CAGCGCCGCCCCCGGCCCCGGCCCCGGCCCCTGCCCCGGCGCGGCCCCACCCGCCCCCGGCCCCGGGACCCCGGACCCCGACGGATCCGGGCCACCCGGTCGCTGCCCTGGTCCCCAAGGGCATGGTTACCAAAGGTGTGTCCCCCTCAAGGGACCAGCCGGGCCGGACTGGGCCGGGCGTGGGCTGGGGCGACCCCGCTTCCCGCCTCCCCCGCCTGGCCCCGCACTCGTGCCTGCGGCCAGAGGTCCTGGCCCGGGCGGTCCCGGTGGCTTTCGGACAGCGGCAGCTCGCAGCCGTCTCTGCTCTGCAGTGCAAGGGTGCTTTCAACAAGTGGAATATGTAACAGTTCGGTGGGTCCCGGCAGGCGGCCGCGTGGAATTTCTATGAAGTGTTACGTATAGAAAATATTTTAACGGAATGCGCGATGCCACCATATGAAACGATTTATATGAAGGACTTGGTAGGAAAACATGCTCGGATCTTGGGAGAAGTCTGCCCCAAATGACCTCATTTTTTGTTTTTAAACGTGTGCATTTATACTTGTGTGCATACACACGTCCGCCTGCGTAAGGGTATATACAGTGTTTATAAGCCTATTGCATCTCTATAGGACCCTGCTCTTGTCTTGAGGATATACACGCTCTATAGGAGAACACACACACATAGATAATGTCACACACAGGCTTATACACACATCGCATGTCTTGCTTTCTGCATATACACACGTTCTGTAGGAGGTAGGTATACATATGTGCCGCGTAGACACATTGGGAAGCACAAGCGTCAGTATTATCTGCATAGTTTTCTTTAATAGTGAAATGACACGCTTTTATGCATTGTCTAACAGCTTTTTCATTTCATGTTTTTATTTTGTAATAACAAGAAAAGTATTTTTAAACACGGAGAGGAAAAAAATAACATTTTAACATTCCTTAAGAGGCGAATCTGAGCAGGCGGAGGAAGGCGCCTTGAAGGGGCCCCCATGTGGTGACAAAGGAGCAGTGCCCTTCGGGGCGGCCTCTGCGGGGAGGGTCTGTCCAAACCAGGAACCAGCGCGCCACGTGGTCCACACTCCACTGGGCTTGCCGGGTGTCGCGGGCGCCGGAGAGTAAACATGCCCCTCACTTCCTCCTTGTCCGCCTGGGGTGAGCGACGGCCGGGGGCATCCCAGAGGCTTTCAAGGATGGAAATGCAGTCGTGGAGCCGGAGTGAGGGGAGATCTAGGAGGCTCGCTCCCTGCCCCGCCTTCCCTCGGTCACCCAGGCTACCCTGGCTGTGTGGCATGCC